TTTCATCCCCACTCCCTTCTTTCAAGACCTTACCTTGGGCTCTCTCATCTTGGATGATGTCCCAGCCCCCTGCTAAACTCCATGCGTCCTGTCTGGTCCCCTTCCAACCCACCTTCCACACGGCAGCCAGAATGATTATTCTAAAGAGCAACTCTGACCATGTCACGCCCCTCCTTCGACTGGTCCTCACTGGGCTTCAGGACAAAGTCCATGGGTCTTAGCCGGCCCAACAGGAACCCCTGGGATACGGCCCCTGCCAACCTCTCTAAACTCATTTTCCATATTCCTTGCCCTCGGCGCCCCCCACAAAAACGTTCCTCATTCCAACCACATAAACTACTCATAGACCCCTGAACATATCAAGCATTGTCTTGCCTCCAGGTCTCTTCAAATGTTCTTCCCTCTGCTTGGACCATTTTCTCCCACATCTCTCTCTGGCTGACTCCCATTTTCCCACAAGACTCAGTTTATTTTTTATTTTTATTTATTTATTTAGTTGGCTGTGGCTGATCTCAGTTGTGGCAGGTGGGATCTTTAGTTGCAGCCTATGGGATCTAGGGATCCCTGACCAGGGATCGAACCCAGGCCCCCTACACTGGGACCATGCGGTCTCAGCCCCTGGACCACCAGGGAAGTCCCAGGGCTCAGTTTCAACCTCACTCTCTCCAGGAAGCCTTGTGTGAAATGCACCTCCATGGCCAATGCCTTACAGACCCCTGCTCTCTGCTCCCACAGTCTCCCTCCCTACTTGCCATAACTATGGTTCCATGATGGCCTGTTTATTTTGCTTGCCTTCCTCTCTAGACTGTGGCGTAGCTGCCCAGGTTATACACCGAGCAACGCACAAGAGGTGAGGATGATCGCAAGAGTGGCCCCTGAAGTTGTGCAGTGCACACCCTACACAGCTGTGCCTGGAAGCTCCGCCTGAGACCTCCTTGAAGAGGACTCTTTCTGTTCACTCTTGTGTATAACACATGTGTGTGGACGGTAATTGTTGAACTGATGAATGGAGAGATGGATACAGATCTTGCTCTCCGTGTCTGCTGGCCAATGAAAGAGTCCTCATCTGTGTCATCTCCCATCTGCTCGGCTCCCCTCTAACCAATTCACTGTCTTACCTAGCTTCCAAGCAAAACCTTATTTATGGGGTTTAGTCTTTCTATTGTTGAAAATCAAGACTCATTGGTCTTTAGTTGCTGCCCTAACTCCTAAGAATCTCCTGAAGCTTTAATCAGGAGTGACTGGTGACCTGGGATTATGTGGGTTTTTGTCTTTGACATTATGAAAAGTTAGGCTCTCTGCAGTGCTTCCTAAGGCATAGGAGATTTAAAGAGAAAACAACTCAAATCTTCCTTTCTCCTCCAACTCTTTCCTCATTGTTTAAAGAGAAATTGCCTTTGGAAAATTACCGAGTATTTTTCTTTTTTCTGCATCCTGTATGTGTGCATAATCACTCTGTCATGTCCAACTCTGTGACACCATGGACTGCCAGGCTCTTCTGTCTATGGGATTCCCCAGGCAAGAACACTGGAGTGGGTTACCATTCCCTTCTCCGGGGAGGCTTGTGGCTCAGAAATGGAATCCGAGTCTCCTGCTTTGCAGGAGGATTCTTTCCTGTCTGAGCCACCAGGGCAACCCCAGAATTCCTTTACTGAATAGCTAATCGTGTGGCCATACTCTTACGCCAGGGGTTCTACAGGTAAGGAAATAGAGTCACAGTTTATAAATGCAGTTTGTGATAGAACCTATTTCAAGTTGACACAGAGGGTAACTCTAGTATTGATACATTTTAAGAAGTCAGAGACCTTGTGTCTTCTTTTAGCTGTTATAGACCCAAGGTCCAGCCAGTACTTGGCGCACACACACCCCCACACACACCCTCATAAAATATGTGAATGAATTCATCACAAGAAACTCATAAAAATATGTCCTTAGTGGCGAGTCAGCTGGAAGTTATTTAACCATTGTAAACACAGAAACATTGCATGCTTTAGGTTAAATTAGATATTGTATATTGAATGCCTAGCACAGGATCTGGCATTTATTAAATAAATGAAAACTGCCATTAAGATTATTGGAGTGGGGTGGGATGGAGGGGTGGGAGGGAGGCTCAAAAGGGAGGGGATATACGTATGCATATGTGTACGCTTAGTCATTCAATCCTTGAGGTCACTCCTCACCAAGTTCGGGTCCCTTTGTGGCTTCTCACTTTTGTCGTTCAGTCGCTAAGTCGTGTCTGACTCTTGCTGACCCCATGAACTGCAGCACCCCAGCTTCCCAGTCCTTCACAATCTCCCTGAGTTTGCTGAAACTCATGTCCACTGAGTCAGTGAGGCCATCCAACCATCTCATCCTCTGTTGTCCCCTTCTCCTCTTGCCCACAATTTTTCCCAGCCTCAGGGTCTTTTCCACTGAGTCAGCTCTTTGCATCAGGTGGCCAAAGTACTGGAGCTTCAGCTTCAGCGTCAGTTCTCACCACCAGTTTCCAAGTTGTTGTTACAAGAAATGTCCACGAGGCAACAGCAGAGCTTCAAGCCCCACTCAGGTTACTCAGTCCCCCAGTCAGAGACCTAAAGAATGTCGTGCTCCTAGGTTGCTGATTCCAGGGGAACGTGCTAGAAGAAACACTCCAAGGTTTATGTCTCAGAAATTCTCTTCCCTTACCATTCACCCTCAAGACCCATGCCAAGCCCTGGCAGACCGCTCCGTTGAGGACGCTGTGGTTCCCAGGTGGGGCGACGGCTCCGTGGGAGGAGGCTGCAGCGGGATATTCCACCAACGTGAGAGCTGCACGCCAGGTGACTTTTTCAAGCTCTTCCAGCCCAGAGCGTGCACCGATCTTTGGATGCAGGAGGTTTTATGGAACCTTCAGGAGGGTGCACCTGGATTGGGAGATCCTGGTCCCGTCCACAGGGGACCAGACACCAGAGTCCACAAGGCTTTTGTAACTCTTTTTGATAGACACATTTGAAATTTAATACCAGGGCTGGAGAGCTACAAGCTTAAAGCCGTAAGAGCAAAGAGTTATATAAGAGCACAGAGGACAGAACAATCACTTCTGATCAGAAGGGGGTGATATTTGAGCTGAAGGCAAAGGAAGAGGAAGACTTCAATGGGAGAATGAATGAGTGAATCCCTTGGGGAAATAAATGGTTTGTGTTCCTTTTATGGTACAAGAGGAAAAGAATTAGACTTGGCACTGTATTCACAGGGACTGGCATTAGTCCTGCAACTTCAAGCAAATCATTTTTTTTGCAACAGCAGTTTATCCATCTGTAAAATTGGACTAGTAACCACTCATTTCCCAGGATTTAAGACTTAAATAAAGCTATGTCTGGAAAAGTTCTTTGCTTGAAATGCTAAGTGCCATAAAGATATTAGGTATAATTATGCTTCTTAATTTCTCTTGTACTTTGTCTCTTAAGAATTCAATACAATGCAGAACATTACTGAGTGCTTGTTCAGAGGCAGACACCATTCTCTGTACTTCCTGGACACTGTTTCATTGGCCGTCCCAACAATCCTATAAGGTGGGTCGCATCCATATGCCCATTCTCCAGATGAGTAAAAGAAGGCAGAGAGAGCTTCAGCTGCCTTGCTCAAGCTCACACAGCTCTTAACTACTGGGGCCCCAGATGGTACCTCAGCACCCCTGATCAGAGACTAAAGATGCATTAAAGATGACGTTAGTCTGGCCCACTTAGGACACGTCAGCCAGCTGAGAAGGGATGGATGTGGCAGGGTGACCACCTCTGAGGACACAGTCATCAAGACCCCTCTCCTCCAGTTCCATCAGTAGATCAGCTGAAAGTAGAATTATAAGGATCACAGAACTCGGTTTTTCTTTTCCCAAACATTTTATGTCCTTTACTTAAACACTGATTACAAGAAAAGCCAAGGCATAAAAGTTACAGAGATTTCACAGGGCTTTTTAGAAAATGAAACAGGCGAACATCCTCCTGGTGAAACTAGCCTGACAAGGTCACCGTTAAGGAGTCCAAAGCCAACAGCCTGGATGAATCAGAAAAACGAGGCCCAACATTCAGTCAAATCAAGTGGCATTTATCTGTATTTTTAAATGGCTCTCTAACGCTTTTATTTCCTTGGTATAAGAGTTCCAATAGAACCCTAAAGTGATTGTATAGAACACTGGGGCTTTTTAATAGCTTCTAACTTAGCAAGCCACGGTAATTTAAAGAGAAGTGCATGAGCTGCTACGAGGAGGGAGATTTCTGCTGAAGAAAACGAAGGTGTTCTGGGCCCACTGCTTCTGCCTCTTTCTGGAGAGAGGCAAAATGCTCACAGGAATGTGATGGAACTTTCCAGCTGCTGATTTTGCATTATCAGGAAGGGAAGTGTTTATGAAAATCAAAATTACTGATAATTATGTGTGAAAGCCCGCAAGGGAGAAAAATGTAGAAACATTGCAGAACGTTTATTTATATCCAGAGCTGAAGCCCGTTTGGTGGGAGTGTGAATTGGTCCAGCTTTTGGAGGGTACTTGTTAATGTCCTGACACTTTGACCTGGCAAGGTCCCCTCTGAAAATCTACTTTTTAGCAAGACTTAACACATATCCAAGGTCTGTGTACAAGAATGTTCACTGTAGTGTAGCTTGCACGTACAAAAATACAGAAATAATCTATTTCCATCATCACGAATGTTTAAAAAATGCTGGCATAACCATATTTTAGAAAATTTTGCTAATAAATGGAATGAGATAGATCTAGATATTCTGACTTGAAAAGTTGTCACTGATGTTTTAAATGAAAAAAAGCAAATTACAAAAAAAAATATCTATTGCATGCTTTTATTTTATATGCTTTCATTTTAAAATGAAAGCCCTCACCGTGGGGCTTGGGGAAATTTACTTCTCCTTTCAGATGGTCTGTCTCCTCTTGTGAGCAACGATTGTCTAAGAGAACCTGCCCCAGGGGTCTTTGTAAGGAAGAGAAAGTCAGAGAGAGCCTGAGAATAGACCAGAAGTGAGGTCACCGATTATTACTGTCCTGCAGGTCCTTCCTTGGAAGGACCAAGTCTCCCTTCCGTCGTCTTCAGGATGAACTCCTTCCCATCCTTCTGGACCGGCTCACGGGCCATCGCCGACGGTCTCCCTGGTCTCTGCGGCGCAGGCAGAACTGACCGGTGCTCCTCCTCCGGTCCGGGGGGGCCCTGGGCACCAGCCTCGCCCCTGCACGGTCCAGCCTGGGTTTGCTCCTCCGTCTCCTCCACCCCCCCGCCCCCACCGCCCCGAGTCCCTGCAAGGCCAGCCAGCACATTGCTTTCTCCAATGCTTGGCTGCTTCATCTGCGAAATGAAGGCATCACCTCCTCCCACAAGGCTGTAGAAGGAACGCAATGAAAAATGCATGTGAAACGCATCAACGGCATTTAGCCAAACCCAAATTTAGCTATTACTACTTCTGTTATCTTTGAGAGGCCGGGCTCATTGGGGAGAAGGGAAGCATAGCTGAAAAGTCCCTGTCCAGGAATTCAGACTACATCCTGAAGGGCCCGGCGATGCGGAGCAAGTTTCTCTCTCTCTCTCTCTCTCTCTCTCTCTCTGTCTCTGTGTGTGTGTGTTATTCGGTCACTCTGTTCTGTTCAACTCTTTGAGAGCCCATGGACTGTAGCCCGCCAGGCTTCTCTGTCTGTGGAATTTTCTAGGCAAGAATGCTGGAGTGGGCTGCCATTTCCTTCTCCAGGGGATCTTCCTGACCCAGTGTTCAAACCCACATCTTCTGCGTCTCTTGCCTTGGCAGGCAGATTCTTTAACCACTGAACCACCAGGGAAGCCCCACAAGTTTCTTTAATTATTCATGAAGAGGTGAGCTCTTACCTAGGATCCCATTTCCATCAGAAACTGCATTTCATGTGCCCCTTTGTGAGCCTAATCCATAAGGCAAAGGGGAAAAGACTCTTTCTCACCCTTAAAATTAATTACAATTAGAGAACCTTGGTGTGGGTTTTTTTTTTTTTTTTTTTACTACTTATGAAGCACTTTCCTACCCATCATAGAATTTGGAGATGATTTTAATGGGAAGAAAGCACAGCCAAATCTTAACAGTGATAGTCTCTGGGTGGTGGGATTTAGGGTGATTTTAACCTTACTTGTGTTCCCCTAAACCTTCAAAACTTCTGCAGTTTCAGAGCTGAATAGAAACGATGGTTACATAATATTGTGAATGCAATAAATGCACTAAATTGTAAAGTGTACAATTTTATGTTATGTGAATTCCACCTCATCCAAAAGATCTCCTGCAATACTACACACGTGATTTCACAGTCATTTAGGAAAACGAGGTTTGAGGCGAGAACCAGCAAGGACTTCTACGGCTCAAAGGCAGCTCAGTCAGCAGTCACGCTCCCCCTCCCATGTCCAAGTCTTAATCCCAGGCGGCCAGCCTGCAGCGCGCTCCTCCGACCACCAGGGGGCTCTGCGGAGGCCTGGCGTCCCCACTCGCGGGAAGACGCCTGCTCTTGCTCTTGCGCCTTCGGAGCACGTGTGCGCGCGGGGGGCGTGGCCCGCGTGGCCGCCTGAGCGGCGGGACGTCGCCCACTCGGTTGTGTCCCGGGTGCGTCCCGCGTGACTGACTTCACTTCTGACAGACTTCGTGTCTGACTGATCTGCCGCCCCGAGTCCTTGCGAGGCCCCCTCTCCTCGCCCCCCGGCCCCAGCCCTCTTCCGTCCGGGCGGGTAACCGGCTTCCATCTCCCACCGGCGGGTTCGCGTCCCCCGCCCGCCGTCCTCCGGGGGGCCCTGGGTGAGCCCCGGCCCAATGGCGCTTCAGGCGCTGCAGAGCTCGGGGGTGGCCTTCCGCAAGATCCTGTCTCACTTCCCGGAGGAGCTGAGCCTGGCTTTCGCCTACGGCTCGGGGGTGTACCGCCAGGCGGGGCGCAGCTCAGACCAGAAGGTGAACCCGGGCCAGCCCCGCGCCGGGAACGTGCTTTCGAGGTCGCTTTGCCCTCGGTCCCTCCCGAGCCCCGGAGCTGCCGGGCCGCTCTGCGCATCCCCGTATCAACTCGCGAAGACCTGATAACAAACCCTGTGAAAGGGCTCTTAGCAGAGCGGCAGCGTGAGCTGCGCTTCGAAGGGAATTTAGGAGTCCGCTTGGGTCTAAGAGCGGGAGACGCAATTATGTGGAGGGAAGAGCTGGTGCCGGGACAAAACGGAAAAAAAAAAATCTTGCCAGGTCCTCGTTCAGTGTTCTCGAGTTTTCTGGAAAACTTAAAAAAAACAAAACTGATAATCTGGGTTCCAGTTGCGGAGATTCAGATTTAATTGGTCTGGGATGATCCCGGGCTTTAGGAATTAAAAAAAAACTTCCCAGGTGATTCTGTCTCGCAGCCAAGCTGAGAGTTACGTCTCTGGCAATAGGAGAAAATACAAAGTGATTCCCTGACTTTGGGAAGCTGATGGATGGATGGTAGGGTTTGGGTATTTGCAGTGACTGTAACAAATAGCAAGGGCTTCCCTGGTAGCTCAGCTGGTAAAGAATCCGCCTGCAATGCAGGAGACCCCGGTTTGATTCCTGGGTCGGGCAGATCCCCCTGGAGAAGGGACAGGCTTCCCACTCAAGTATTCTTGGGCTTCCCCAGTGCTCAGACAGTAAAGAAATAGCTTGCGATGCCAGAGGCCTGGGATCGATCTTTGGGTTGGGATCCCTTGGAGAAGGGAACAGGTACCCACTCCAGTATTCTGGCCTGGAGAGTTCCATGGACAGAGGAGCCGGACAGGCTACAGTCCATGGCAGGTCACAGAGAGTCTGACATGACTGAGCAACTTTTCATTTGCACTAACTAAATCTGAAACCTGTATGCAAGTCAAGAAGCAACAGTTGGAACCAAACGTGGAACAATGAACTGATTCAAAATTGGGAAAGGAGTACATCTAGGACACTGTCACCCTGCTTATTTAACTTATATGCAGAGTACATCATATGAAATGCCAGGCTGGATGAAGGACAAGCTGGAATCAAGATTGCTGGGAGAAATATCAATTACCTCACATATGCAGATGATGCCACCCTTATGGCAGAAGGCAAAGAGGAACTAAAGAGCCTCTTGATGAAGGTGAAAGAGGAGGGTGAAAAGCTGGCTTAAAACTCAGCATTCAGAAAAGGAAGATCATGGCATTCAGTCCCATCACTTCATGGCAAATTGATGGAGAAACAATGAAAAGAGAGACAGGCTTTGTTTTTTTGGGTTCCGAAATCACTGCAGATGATGACTGCAGCCATGAGATTAAAAGACACTTGCTCCTTGGAAGAAAAGCTATGACCAGCCTATAAAGCATATTAAAAAACAGAGACATTACTTTGCCAACAAAGGTCTGTCTAGTCAAGGCTGTGGTTTCTCCAGCAGTCGTATGGATGTGAGAGTTGGACTATAAAGAAAGCTGAGTGCTGAAGAATTGATGCTTTTGAACTGTGGTGTTGGAGAAGATTCTTGAGTCCCTTGGACTGCATGGAGATCAAACCAGTTAATCCTAAAGAAAATCAATCCTGAATATTCATTGGGAGGACTGATGCTGAAGCTGAAGCTCCAATACTTTGACCATCTCATGTGAAGAACTGACTCATTGGAAAAGACCCTGATGCTGGGAAAGATTGAAGGCGGAAGAAGGAGGGGATGACAGAGGATGAGATGGTTGGATGGCATCACCGACTCAATAGACATGAGTTTGAGCAAACTCCAGGAGTTGATGATGGACAGGGAAGCCTGGCGTGCTGCAGTCCATGGGGTCACAAAGAGTTGGACATGACTGAGCGACTGAACTGATTGAACAGGGAGAGTTAGTGGGTGAGCAGTATATTTGCTCTGACCCAGGACATTTACCAAGTCTGTTTAGGGCAAGGCATTATTATTCTTTAAAGTTGGCTGAGCATAACAGCAGTGAGGGTACAGTTTTCCTTGTGATTGCAGATTCTTTTTTCCCCTGCAAATGGGGGAAAACAAGTTTGCTTCCAAGATGGAGTCAAAATTTAAGACATCGAAGATGGCAGACAAATATTTTCTGTTTAATGAGGCTTTTGATTGACTTTGGCAAGGCTTTTGAGCTCTTGCTGAATTAAGGTAAAAGGAGCAGGAATCTAGATAGAGATGTTTTCTGTATGTGCAGCTCATGTTCTGGACTAGGTTTTTTTTTTTTTTTTAATAAACAAAGGAAATAGTCACGTGCTGCGTGCACTAGGGCCTCCTGGCTTTGGACACTTGGCTGTAATCTTTCAGTTAATCTTTGCCTGTTCACTTCCTGGTGAGGCCATCTATACCATGCCTTGAATTTGCTGTTTACCACATATACCAGTATTTAAGTAACGTGCTCATTTGTATTTTATCATGCTCAGTTGCTCAATCTTTTCCACCTCTTTGCAACCCCATGGACTGTAGCCCACCTGGCTCCTCTCTTTATGGAATTCTCTAGGCAAGAATATTGGAGTGGGTTGCCATTTCTTCCTCCAGGGGATCTTCTTGACCTAGAGATTGAACCCTCATTTCCGCGTGTCCTGCATTGGCAGGCGGATTCTTTACCACTGAGCCACCTGGGAAGCCCCCTAATTTAAGTAGTACTTTTCTTTAAATTGACAACATATGGGAAATGATACATTTGGGGCACACAGTAAATTATAGACTATAATAGGTTATTTTTTTCCAACATACGTTAACATGAAAAGTTTTAAAAACATGTCCACTCAAATTCTTAACTATAACCACTAGTTTGTAGGAAACTCAGAGCATCCTGATTCTATAGTCACCTCTTCATTTTCCTGTGAAGATTTTCCTTTGAGCAGACCTGGAATTCCCTCCAAGAAAAGGTGTTCCCTTTTTCCTCACCCTCATTCCCTGCAAGTTCACAAATAGATTCCAGCACCTGAGTCTGTCCCAGATGAGTCCCTGCCTCGGTGCCCTGGTTACTGGCAGGCAGCCTCGTGTGTGATGGTGCGTCCTTTAGTCCGCCCTCCCTTTCTGCCGCAGGAACATTTCTTACCATGGCAGCCAGCGTCTCTCTTTGGTCCCATCTCCCACCACTCTATACCTGCATCCCATCCCAGCCTTACTAACCTAGGCACAGCACCCAGAACATGCCCAGGTCTCATCTCCTCAAGAGCATTTTCATCCAACAAGACTCCCCCGCCCCCCTTCCTCAGGCTTCTCCTAACACTTCACCAAGTCTGCTTAACTCTTGTGCATTCTGGAAGACTCAGACTTACCGGAGTCTTGAAGAGTGTCATCTTATAGGAAAATTCCTCCTTCCTCTGTGACCCCATTCTGAGTGAAATTCCGCTAGCAAGTCCTTTTGCTAATAATCTGTCTATTCTCCCCAGGTGACTTTGAGCTCTTTACCTCTATCTCAGGACCCATCAGAGCTCCTCGTAGATGATCAGAGGAGGTTGGTGAATTGGTGAAGTTAAAATAAGATTTCCCTTTGCATAATGCTTTATAGAGCTTGTCCACATGGTGTTACCTGATCTGGAAGAAAAGTGGAACACATTTAACTAGATTTAGGTGGAAGACAGTGCAGCAGAGTGGTCTCGCCCAGAATCTGGAACCAGACTGTGTCTGTCGGAGCTTACTCTGTGCCGTGGTTTCCTTTCCTGTAGAGATGGAATAATAACAGTATCTAGCTTGTAGGATTGGTTTGAGAATGAAAAGAGTTACTGTATGTATGATACAGAAAGTATTTAAAAGAGGGCTGGAAGATTACTTCAGTCAGCATTACTGTTATGTGAGTTGACAAAAAAGAAGCTCAACTTGGTTCCAGAGGTTTGCTTAAGTTTCTGACCCTGAGTCTGCTGTTAATCACAGAAGCATTGAGTCTTAGAGCTTTCGACTCTGTCTCGCCATCTTTCTAGGAATTAAAACTAAAAATCCTCTTTTATTCACCTCCCAGAATGCCATGTTGAACTTCGTGTTCACAATCGAGACCCTGTTGCATGGCATTGAAAGAACCTAAGGAAAAATTGGAACCATTACTCTTTCCTTAAAGTATTGGGCTGCTAAGGAATCTGCCTGCAGTGCAGGAGACCCCAGTTCGATTCCTGGGTCAGAAAGATCCCCTGGAGAAGGAATAGGCTACCCTCCCCAGTATTCTTGGGCTTCCCTTGTGGCTCAGCTGGTAAAGAATCCGCCTGCAGTGTGGGAGACCTGGGTTCAGAAGATCCCCTGAAAAAAAAAAGATACCCTGGACAAGGGAAAGGCTACCCACTCCAGTATTCTGGCCTGGAGAATTCCATGGAATGTATAGTCCATGGTGTCAGAAAGAGGTGGATATGACTGAGTGACTTAAAAAAAAAAAGTATTGAGACCCAGGATTATCACTGCTGTCCAGAATGACCACGGCACCAGTGATCATGTGTGACGGGAGGGTGAGTGACTTCGGGCCTCTGTCTTAACTTCGGTGGGTATTAATCTTTCTTCTTAGAATCCCAGCTAAATATGTACGTTCTTACAGTCAGGAACTGTTCACACTTTTGCCGGATGAACGTGATGAATGTGACTGTGTTTTATTTGTTGCCTTTGGCCAAGTGTTTTTTGGCTGGGAAAGATAGGGGGTGGCAGAGGATGAGATGGTTAGACCACATTACCGACTCGATGGACATGAGTTTGACTCCGGAGTCAAATTTCGGGAGCTAGTAAAGGACAGGGAAGCCTGATGTGCTCAGTCCATGGGGTCACAAAGAGTCAGACATGGCTTAGTGACTGAGCAGCAACAATAAATGTTTCTTGGTCTCGAGTTTTAGCATGCCTCAACAGCGCCCAGAGTGCCTGTCGGGCGCACAGATGGTGGATCCCACCCCCAGAGTTCCTGAATCAGTATGTCTGGCATAGGGTTTGAGGATTTGCACTTTTTACACATTGAGAGGTGATTGTCCTGTAACACTGCTAGTTTTAGGTGTGTAGCGTAACGATTGATCTTACTGTGGGTTGATTACCACAGTAAGTCTAGTTAATATCCATCACCATACATAATTAAATTTCTTTTTCTGGTGATGAGAACTTTTAAGGTTTACTCTCTCAGCAGCAAGGATTTGCATTTCTTTTTTAAAAATTTATTTATTTTTAATTGGAGGATAATTGCTTTACACCATTGTGTTGGTTTCTGCCGTACATCAGCATGAATTAGCCGGAGGTATACATATGTCCCCTCCATCTGGAACATACCTCCCACCCCATCCCACCCCTCTAAGCTGTCGCCGAGCATCAGGTGAGCCCCCTGTGTTGTACAGACCCATTATTTGTCTCTTGTACACATGGTGGTGTATATTTCAGGGCTTCTCTCTCCGTTTGTCCCACCTTCTCTGCCCCCTGGATTTGCATTTCTAACGAGCTTTCAAACGATGCTGATGCTGCCCATCTGGAACACACCTTGAGAACCACTGGTTTGGTCAGTGGGAGGAACGGGCAGACCATTTTGGATCAGGGTGGAAGTTAATCTTGTCTGTACGGAGAGGCTCACACGCCCAGGGAGAAGTTGGAAGTGAAGAGGGGATTGTAGGTCGTTGGGAGCATGTGGTGCCCGGTGGGGGGAACCCCTCGGTACCCTCGGTTGGGTGGAATTTGATGACGGGCATTGGAGGGCAGGTGAGCACCCCGGATCCCGGCAGAGGGCTGTCTGACTGCGGGGACCCTGCCCAGTGGTCATTCCGATGAGGGGCCCAGGCTCTAAGAGGACGGCCAGGAGCCCAGCGTGACCCCAGTGCGAGAGGACCAGTGGAGCTGAGTCAGGGGCCTCCTAGAGTCGGCCGGGCGGAGGGTGTCAGCCGCGCCTGCGCTGCGCCGGGCTCCCGCCGGCTCAGGGCCGTCACCCTTCCGCGGGCAGACGTGTCACCTGAGGATCTTGTTGGCACGCAGGTTCTGATTCACTTGGTCTGGGACGCTGATGCTGATGCTGCTGGGCGGTGGACCGCACTTTGAAAGGCAGGAGGCTGGAGTACCGACTTGAGAAGGATTTTGCCGGCCTGTCTGAGCGAGGCAGGGATGAGCGCTGTGGGTGATGTCTGCATCACCTTTGGGCCCGGTGTTTGCTTCTCTGGCTGCCGTCCATCCTGCCTCCTGGCTGTTAGGTGCCTGTAGCAAGAAGGGCTCTGCAGTGCGGTGGCGGAGTGGGGGGAAGGCGGTCACTAGCCCAGCCCCGCACATCCGCACCGGTCATGGAGCTCGGAGCCCTGTGCTTTCTCCAGGGTTAATGTTATGCTGAGCCGACCTCTAATTAGTAGTTTCAAACAGCATTGCAGGCTCCAGTGACCAAATGTTTGGGCATAATTGTGTGCCAAAGGGCCTGTACTTTTTAATTGGAATTCTTTAGCTACTTTTTAGATATTTGCAGCCTGAGAAGACTGCTTGGATACTGTTCAGTGAAGTGAGTCTGAAGATATCTGTTGAAGCAAATGGGATTTTGTAACCTAGAACAACTGCATTCAGGGTTTGTGCAAATTACTACTGAAATGAGCTTGACCATAATTCCATGTGTTCAGAGCTGATAAAGAGGTTTTATGTTTGCATGTTGCGTTGTAATTACAGAAGTGTTTCAAATAGTCAGCTGTGAAAGAGAAATTCACCGTGTCAAGGATGTCAGTGAAAACTTTGAGGAAAATTTCTCATTCTCTGTGATGAAACAAACACTGGAAGCCCAGCCTGAAATTCAGGGACCTGGTTTAGCTCTGCCCCTCTGGGTGCCACCTCGGCACATCGTTTATTCTCTCTGAGCGTCAGGTTTCTTATTTCTCACGTGAGGAGAATGAACTGTACCACGGGTCTGTCAGGACCAGTGTTTTTATTGATATTTCCAGTCCATTGAGGACCAAGACCACAGCCTATAAGAGCCATCCTGCCTCTGACGTCACAAGTGCCAGAATTAAAGCTGGTCAGTGCACCATGAGTGCCTCAGGCCACAGACAGTCTTGGAAACTAACCCTTTGCAGAAGATTTCGTGGAGATGTGTGTTTTTACAAGGTAGGCAGTTTTTTGAGTGGCTTTGGAAATCAAGCTTCCGCCCTGGTCAGAAATTTAGTTCTTTATATTTTGCACTTGCACAAGGGTCAGGATGGTATTTTGCTCTTTTTCATGCACATTTCTTTTCTTTTCTAGCTTATCAAATACGGAGTTATTAGCACCAGTGTTTTGATTGAAGAACTTCTCAACTGGAATAACCTATACATTGCTGGTCGACTCCAAAAACCGGTGAGTGAGTGTTCTGTTAGGGATGGTTCTCCTCTCCAGACCATGCTTCTGGGATGCTCCCTTCTTTGACTTTCTGCAGATGTTTGCGGTAATTCCACACTCAGCCAAGTGCTCCAAGGCTTAATTCAGGGCCATTAAGTCCTTATAATTATGAGGGAGGAGGCAATATGGAATTAAGTAGCTTACGTATCATATGAAGCTTTGTATGTTATAAATATTCCATTAAAAAAAATAAGGATAAAAGGTAAAAGGTAGAATTCAGGTTTTTCAGTTCAGTTCAGTTGCTCAGCCATGTCCGACTCCTTGCGACCCCATGGACTGCAACACACCAGACTTTCCTGTCCATCACCAACTCTTGGAACTTGCTCAGACTCATGTCCATCAAGTTGGTAATGCCATCCGACCATCTCATCTTCTGTCTTCCCCTTCTCTTCCTACCTTCAGTCTTTCTTCAATCAGATTCTTAAGCCTGATTTATAAAAGTTATGTTTTCTAATATTGTTATTCACAATTAATTAAAAAAAAAAGAAGAAACTATCCTTTGGGATGTACATCACTCCGTCTTTCCTTGCTATCTAATGCAGTTTTAATTTGGAGTTTCTCATACTGTATGTGTCTTTTATGTGTCATCTGAATTTTGCCAGAAATTATCCTTGTTTGATAAATAAAAGGCAGTTTAAACCCTACTTTCTGGAACATGAGAGGAGTTTGGTTACAGCACTAAGTGGTTAGAGACAGTGGCTACGTTTCAGATACATGAGTGTCCTTAGTAGGGAGTTCTAGACGCACTGCTTGTTTAGAAAATCAGTCAGAAGCAGCACGATGGTCTAAAATCGTGTTGGGAGTGCAGACTGGCACAATCGCACAAAGAGCAACTTGGCCGTTGGGGCTCCAAGCATGTGCCTTAGAGCAGCGGTGCTCACACACCGTCCCTGGAGCGGCATCAGCGTTACCTGGGAACCTGGCCGAAATGTACCCAGGCCTGCTGAGCCAGAATCTCTGGGGATGGGCCTAATACTAGGTGTTTTAACAAGCCCTGCAGGAGACTCTGATCTCACTGAAGGGGAGGAGCCCCGGCTCAGAGAAACACGTGCACTGTGCACCAAGAGACGCGCGGGGAAGCTGCCTTCAGCTGTGGGTTCGGACGCAGGGTCTCACTTCATCTTCCCAGCAGCCTCGGAAGCCCAGTTCAGCTATTAACCCCCTCACAGAGGTAGTAAGAGAGAGAGGACTTGGGCTCATCCTGTTGACTGCAGTGCAGTCTTTACAACCAGTCAAACACACTGGAGCAGTTTGTATCTTGATGGGAGGGGAACGTCAAAGATGGTAGCTCCTACTAGCTAGTTTTCCTTTCTTTTTCCTCAGTCAGGTTCACATCAGTTCAAAATAGAGCATGGCCTGCTCAGGTTAGATAAGAACAGAGATGAGTTCTGAATAAAGAAGTAAAATGCCTTTGTCCACTGTAAAATTAAGTAAAGAACAATGAAATTAAAAAATAAAGTTCTCAGGTTCCCAAAGGTCATTTATTCCATTTTTGTACTGCTTTTTCAAAATTCATGTGGAGTTTCCTCACTTAAGAAAAATGTTTATTTTGTTTTCTTTCCTATGTCCTGAGTTGTCTGGTTCTGGCTTAAAACAGGAGACTCCAGAATTGCTTACTAGATTAGTAACTATCTCATGTCACCTGGCCTAATGCTGCAGCATCTTCAGGGCTGAGGGTGTAGGACAGCTCCAGCGCGTGTAGTAACACCCAGCTTGGGCCATGCTCCGCTTCAGGACGTCTTCCTCTGAACGTCCTGCTTTTCCAGGTGAAGGTCGTGGCGATGAATGAGGATGTGGCTCTCCGCTCAGCCCTGGATCAAAACCTGAAGAGCGCTGTGACCGCGGCCTTCCTCATGCTCCCGGAAAGCTTTTATGAGGAAGACCTGTTTACAGAGATCGCCGGCCTCTCCTACTCAGGTTAGTAGGCTTCATGCTGCACTTCCTGCCGGACGGAGATTCGCTGCTGGGAGACCCAAGCAGGCCCGCCCCCCGCCCCTCACTGGCAACTGAGGTTCCGGTCCCGGCAGCTCTGTCAGGGTCTCTGCAGGGACCCTGCGACCTGCCTCCTTCCCCAGGGTCTCTTCCTTTTCCCATCTCTACACAGGGTAACCCTTCTGTTGTTATTGTTCATTTTTATTTTGAGACAGTTTCAGAGTACAGGTAAGTTTCAGTAATCATCCAGGAAGCTACCATATATGCCCTTTCCCCAGAAACATCTCACCACACTTCTTTTATCATTCTGTCTGTATCAGTGATATTCAGAAGTTGGCAGCAGAACCCCCTGGAGGGCCTGTCAGAACAGACAAGACTGCCGATTTGGGAGGTCTGGGGCGGGCCCCCAAAGTCTGTGTTTCTCTCCTGTTCCTGGTGATGCTGATGCTCCTCCAGGGAGCCCACTTTGAGAACCACTGATCCCTCTCTGCATGTAAATACACCATATGATGTATGTTCTTCTGAACTGTTAGGGAGTAGGGCACACGTGTCACGTCCCGTTTAGGCCCATTACTTCAGTATGTGTTTCCTAAGAACAGGGCATCCTCTCACAGAACCACAGTGCAGGCACTAAATAACAACGATACATCACTTCTTTCAAACTGATAATTTTCATTTCTGATGTTATCGGTTGTCCCAATAATGTCCTCTCTAATATTTTACCTTCAAGTACATGATCCCGTCAGGGATCACATAATGTATTTAGATGCTGTCTCTTTTATCTTTTAATTTGTAACGTTTCCTCAGCCTTTCTTTGTCTCGTACAACACTCACATGTTTGTAGTCTGCAGACCAGTGATGTTGGTGCCCTGATAAGCAGTGTTTTCTCCCATCTAAACAAACTAGCGGGGAGACACTTGAAGATTAGGCCAGCGTCCTGCTTCTTACCAAACTTTCCCTCCAAGGGTGAGTTTCCACTGGCAATTCTTGCTGGAATAGTCTTTACTGTGATGGGTGCAAAGTGGTGACTTGGCCACTCGACCTTTCCTCATATTAAGGAAACCTTTCTCCCTCCTCCTCCATTCATCTATTGATTTATCTAAATACTAACTTCCTTTCCCCTTGACAGCTGTGCTCCTCAGAGGTATTGGGGACGGGGAGGCCGAGAGCGCAGATCCCGGCCCGTCACCGTAGCCTCAGCCCAAGAGTCCCCCAGAGATCTGTTTAACTTGTTAAGGATTTGTGTATAACTCCATTTTCAGAAAAGTAGTCTGTCTTTTAAACCGTAGTTTGAAATCCACTATCTTAAATGTCCCTCTTTCCCAGCTTTTGAGTATGAGTCAGAGAACTCTGTGCTCACATAGCGCAGAAGCAGCTGGCGCAGCCTCTGAATCCCTGCACAGATGAGACGCATGGGGACGCTGTGCTCACAGAGACACGGAGGGTCTCGCTCTGCAGTCTTGTTGAAGCAGCTGGCGCACCCTCTGAATCCCTGCACAGATGAGACACATGGGGATGCTGTGCTCACAGAGACACAGAGGGTCTCGCTCTGCAGTCTTGTTGAAGCAGCTGGCGCACCCTCTGAATCCCTGCACAGATGAGACGCATGGGGACGCTGTGCTCACAGAGACACGGAGGGTCTCGCTCTGCAGTCTTGTTCCCAAAACGTGTGTGCTGTGACCACAGCTGTCACGGCAGCATGGGCGAGAAGGCAGGCGAAATCGCCTTGGTCTTGGTTGCTTCCAGCATCTCACGGCAGCCTCCCTGCCTGTCAGCAAAGGCCAAGGGGCCAGCATGGTGGGGCTGCATCCAGGAGGAACGTGCGGGGAGGGGGCCTCTGTCTGGGTACCTCCCCCAGCCCGCTCCCCTGTGAGGAAAGGTGGACCTGAACCTTTAGTTGACTTTGTGGGAGAAGATGCAGAGCCGTCCTCTGCTCTGACCGCAGTGTCAGGCGGACACCAGGTTGCTGTTGCTGTTCAGTTGCTCGGTCGTGTCCGACTCTTTGTGGCCCCATGGACTGCAGCACGCCAGGCTCCTCTGTCCTTCACCATCTCCCGGAGTTTGCTCAAACTCATGTCCATTGAGTCGGTGATGCCTTCCAACCATCTCATCCTTTGTCGCCCCCTTCTCCTGCCTTCAGTCTTTCCCAGCTTCAGGGTCTTTTCCAATGAGTCAGCTCTTTGCATCAGGTGCTCAAAGTATTGGAGCTTCAGATTCAGCATCAGTCCTCCCTTCAAAGGGTTGATTTCCTTTAGGATGGACTGGTTTGATCTCCTTGCAGTCCAAGAGACTCTCAAGAGTCTTCTCCAACACCACAGTTCAAAAGCATCAGTTCTTCGGTGCTCAGCCTTCTTTATGGTCCAACTCTCACATCCATACATGACTACTGGAAAAACCATAGCTTTGACTAGATGGACCTTTGTTGGCAAAGTGATATCTCTGCTTTTTAACACACTGTCTAGGTTTGTCATAGCTTTCCTTCCAAGGAGCAACCCTCTTTTAATTGCATGACTGTAGGAGTTCTCTATAAATTCCAAACATTGACTGAAGACATTTATTTACACTTTAAGTAAGCTTTCAAGCTGCTCTCAATCTTGAGCTGATTTTTGTTCTGCCTCCTGAAAGGACCATGTCGTATGCTCCTGGTTTCTCCTGTTGTTCAGTAAATACTTGCTGACTCATAGCAGTATCATCCTCTGTTCCGCTTCTTCTAGAATGTTCCTTAGGAGCTGCTGTATAGCGATGCTGTTCCATAATCAGTAGGTCAGTGAGTAGGTAGGTGGGTAGATGCGTGGGTAGGTGGATGGAGCATGTATTCCTTTATCCCGTCCCAGAATCCTCACAGTGCAGCCCTGTCTGTTCAGCAAACGTGTGTGCCCTGTGTCTCCCTATGCCACACACCGCACTGGGCCGGGAGCCCGCTCACAAGCGAGATAGAAATGAAACTCCTCGTGGAGGTCGTGTTCTTTCAGGGAGAGACAGACAGTAAAGCAGCAGTGGGCGGTTTCAGACAGTGGTGAGTGCCGTGAGGGGAAGAAAAAGCTTCAGGTTGAGGGTGGGCTGTTTCTCGGGGGGTGGTTCAGGAAGGCCCTCCGAGGCAGGGAACAGTGTCTACGAGCCGGCCCGGGGCTGCTGGGGAAGAAATGACCGACGAGTGGGTTGCTCCCCGGAGCCTGGTCTCACAGCTTGCTGTGTCTGACCCCAGCCCCTCGGCCTCTGGTCAGTCCCATACCTTATCTCGCCTCATCCTGTTTTCTTGCAGTTAATATTTGTCATTGCTTAATCAGCCTAGGGTCTGCGACTTTGGCCAGGTAGCCTACATTACTCATTTCAAAGAGGTTGGCTTCTTTTTCCTGCAACACTTAGGACACGATGCTTTACAAATTCTCCCCAGTTCAGTTCAGTTTAGTCGCGTAGTCATGTCTGACTCTTTGCGACCCCATGGGCTGCAGCACGCCAGGCTTCCTTGTCCATCACGCCAGGCTTCCTTATCCATCACCAGCTCCTGGAGCTTACTCAAACTCATCTCCATTGAGTCCATGATGCCATGCAACCATCTCATCCTCTGTCTTCACCTTCTCCTCCTGTCTTCAATCTTTCCCAGCATTAGGGTCTTTTCCAAAGAGTCAGTTCTTCGCATCAGGTGGCCAAAGTATTGGAGTTCCAGCTTCAGCATCAGTCCTTCCAATGAATGTTCAGGACTGATTTCCTTTAGGTTTGACTGCTTTGATTTTCCTCCAAATCCTCCCCAGAGGGGGCTGATTCCCACTCTGTGTGGTCCCTATCTTGTGAATAAGACCTTTTCCAAAGTTTTCTGTAAGTCAGTTGTTTAGATTAGGAATATATTTTCCCATTGAAACAGCATAATATATGATGGTTGCTGGTAAGCCAGGACACAGTGTAATTAATGGTTAACTAGCCCGTGATATGATGGAACTAGACTGGGATGGTGCTGGATGGGAAGGATCTAGACCCTGCAGGCAGGTGTCTTCTGTAGATGTGAGATTTGCCCCAGGTGATGTGTTGAAAGACAAGCTTTTCTACCTACCTTTCATAGGCTTCTGAGAACCCAGTATACCTGAGTTGATCAGATTCTAATCCCTTCAGGAAACCACCCAAACCTCCTAAGCCCTCAGAATATTCCAGACTTCAACTTACACACCAACCTCATTTTTATTTACAAACTTGGACATCTACTTTACACCTGTTTTCAGTTGAGAGAGTTGATATGTCTTCCCTAACCTGCGAAGTCCCGCTTCTCCCTGGCGGAGTCTGGGGGACGTAGAGAAAACAGTGGTCTCCGTGTCATTGGACAAGTTCTTGCCAGTAATTGCTGGTGGGGGCAAGATCCGTCAGTATTACTAGCAATAATAATAATAATAATCCCTGTATTCTGTGTAGTATTTGAGGATCACTTTAACTGCCCCAGGGTCAGTATTTATGGCATTATTGTTATAAGTGATGGTGAGAAAGGAGTGGGTGGAAGATGGGAGCCTACAGAATTGGGGAGGAGAAAGCCTTCTAATCCTTCAGTTATTCTTAGAACTCGGCATTTAAGTAAACAGGAAAGGAAACCGAATGAACTTTAAAGGGCCACCTTTCACATTCTTGTGAAAGTACAAACTATAAAATGACTAGTTTTAGGTAATGATTCCTGGTTTAACATTTATCAAGTGAATCAGCATCCCATACCTTACAATGAATTAAGGATGCAATGTCTGCTCTGAGGAGCTTCACATTCATAAACATATGCAGTCACAGTGAGTCAGTTGCAGACTTAAAAGCAGCCCGTGTGGAAAAGGCAGGCGTGTGTAAGTGCACGTCCCGTTCGGGGAGGGAGAAGCAGACAGCTGTGATGGAGGTCCATGCTGGTGGCAGGAGAAAGTCACATTCTTTGTCGTATGTCAGGAATGACTCTCGGTACTTTTGATCTAATAACTCGTTTCATCCTCACACACAACCCTCTGATAGGGTGCTATATTATC